GCTCTGGATCACACAATCCGAGGTGAGGCTCGGCTGCTTGCTGCCTCACTTATCTGAACGGGAATTATGCAAATTAAGCAATTTTCACAATGATATCGTTGACATTATTGGAAACATAAACCAACTCGATAAAAGGAGGTGATAATCATCAGATCCAAATATTATGACTAGATCACATTTTTCACCCCCCCCCAAGGAAAAGTTGTATCACAACAACTGTGTAATGTTTTTTTTTTTAAATGAAATATAAAACTGCTTCTGCAAATGTTCGAACATTCTGTTCAGTGTTGTCTCAACGCTCCTTTGTGCGTAAAAATGAGATGACCCACGGGTTGATTTCAATCGTGGTGTGAGTCACACACACGACTTTTGCACAGCATGTTCCAAAATGAAAATATGCGTGTGCATGAATTAGTGAACGAAAGCAACAATCGCCCTTTTCGCCTGGATAGCAATAAAAAAGCCAGTAAATGACTCAGTCTGTATGACGAATGATCAATTTTCTGTCTTTTGTAGCAATAATTAGATCTGAATACAACTTAGAGGGCTTTAAATCCAAGCAATGTCCAAAGAAAATATCAGAAAAGAAAAAGAGCCCACACTTCCGGAATGAATGATGCTTGAAGTGGTGAAGTGAACTTATAACTTCAAACTAAATGTGGCAAATTTAGTTTGAGGTCATTTATTTTGTTTTCCTCGGTTGAACTAGTCTAGTTCCTGGTGGGGAAACCCACTCTGAATCTATAATTGCTTTAAATCTACTATGGCCCGGGGTGCAATCATTTGGTCGAAGCTCAAACGGTTACATCAAGGTATCGCGCAAATTAAATGAGATGGTATATCAGATGTAATTGCACCGTTCTCCACGCTCTGGCCATTCAGGGGGAAAAAAAAAAGATGTTACCTGGCTAATGAGGGTTTATACTGCTCCAGTTGCCGAATTCGTTTTATCCAAAGGGAAAACCGGCGACATCGGTATGGAAGGTTTGGGTTGGATTATCTGTGTGCTGAAAAGTCTCATTTATTCCTTCTGGAGAAATGATAAAAATAAAATAGAGGCACGCTCTATGATGGTGACTTTGTATCTTTACATGCACAGAAGCATATTTGGGACCCTGACAGCTGTCTTTGCATTTCCCTGCGTGTTTTTTTGTCCTCGCATGTTGGCATGTGCACACCTTCGTGCCTGCGTGCAAATCTGGTCTGCTGGCCCGCGTCCTGTGCGTGTGTGTCCCCGTGTGCGTACGCATGTGTGTGTGTGTGTGTGTGTGTGTGTGTGTGTGTGTGTGTGTGTGTGTGTGTGTGTGTGTGTGTGTGTGTGTGTGTGTGTGTGCGTGTGTGTGTGTGCGTGTGTTCGTGTGTGTGTGTGTTCCAGGAGAGCCAGTGGTTGGACAGCGTATCTCTCCTGATCAAGGATACATTAGAAGGGGAGATGCTGATGATCGACAATCTCTCTGGTTCTGTCTTCCACCATTACTCCTCCCCTCTACCCATCTGTAAAGACCGCAGGGGCCACCCACAAGAGGTACCACCCTCATGTGATGTGAACACAAATGCAGCACATGCACAGGAGGAGAACCGCTGGCCTCCCTTTTGGGTTCAAAATGTGCAAAGGCGATAGGCGATCGCTCTCTCAAGTTAACCAATGTCAAATGCAACAATTCACGCCTGTACGTTTGCGTACTTCACGTAACTTCCATTGTAAATGTTTCCAAAAAAAGCGGAAGAAATTGCAAAGCACACATCTGGAACTCTGGATCACACAATCCGAGGTGAGGCTCGGCTGCTTGCTGCCTCACTTATCTGAACGGGAATTATGCAAATTAAGCAATTTTCACAATGATATCGTTGACATTATTGGAAACATAAACCAACTCGATAAAAGCACAGACCAGAGGATTATAATTGAAAATAATTTCGTTTAACCCGTGTATTTTTATTGACTCTTTGTGATTCAGGTGAGGCTCATCCTCCCCTGCCGTCCTTGCTCAAACACAATGTTTGAGTTTTTATATGTGGATAACTGATAAAATGGTCTCACGCACATGCATAGTGAACAGCATTTCAGCATCGTGTGTTACACACTTCGGGCTTCATTGATCTCATCGTGAATGGAAAGTGTTTGCAGACTTAAGAAGCATGTCCGTGCACGTATGTATGTCCAACAGTTAATTTCCAGCCTGTTGTTCAATGCATTTTGCCGTATCAACTTTCCACTCAAAGCAGACATGTAGATGAATGAGGCCCACCGCATGTACCGTCCCCCCTCTAACATGCATGTGTGCAACCCCCTGCGACTCCTCGCGGGTTGTTTTGTTGACGGCAGGTTGCGCATCGGAGATAAACTCACCGACATGTTGTCCTGTGCCGCTGTTGTCCATCACTGTGACAAAGTGCGGCGGGCCAGCTCGGAAGAAGCAATAACTGGCCTCCACACCGCCTCACCTGTCAGTGCTGTTTTCTACCTGTCTGCAGATGCTGTCAAACCATCAATCTGCCCCCCCCCCTTCTTCCCCCGACCCCTCCTCTCCATGTTTCTTCTTCCCTCCTTTGGTCCATCTATCTCTGCTGTATTAACCTTTATCGGTGTGTCTGTGTGTGAGAAGGTGGGTGTTCCTCCGACAGCGTCCGTCATCGCCTCGAGTTATGCGCACCGTTTTTTGTTGTTGTTGTTCTGTTTGCGGGGTCGGGGGGACGCAACAAAGGTGCATTGGGACACAGTATCCATCAGGGTACCGCCTAATGAGGACATGGGCTCATCCCCAGGGTGAGGCTGACGCCATTTCAGCTTGCAGTGGGGCTGTTGAATGGTGCGGTGCCGACGAGAGTCTCTCGGCACTGCGCACGCACACACACACACACACACACACACACACACACACACACACACACACGCGCGCGCACGTGCCATAACACGTCCTCGGGTGGTATTTGTGGAAGACACCCTCTTATGAGAGGCACCGTTACTTTCAAAAGCTGCTTTTAAAAGGTTTACCAAGATGACCAGATGGCAACGTAAAAGGTTTGGCAAAGAAAATAACAAAATGGCCTTTTACAGGTCAGAGCGTAAGTGACATCTTGATTACAAATGAGTAACTATATGCAGGTAATGTGGTCAAAGAAATTGTACAGAATTTGGCATATCTTGTTTTATGACTATATTTTTATTTTTATGAATATAATCTATATTTATATAGATTTCTTTGGGGGGGTATTTTAATGAAGATGATGGATCTGAATTATACCGTTTTTTTTTCTCTTTTTTTTTTTTTTAATGAATGAATTCCATGCCTTCACCTTTGTTTCCTAACCACTTCGACCACGCGGCGGTTGTGCGAAAAGGGTCACGACTCGACAGCTGTAGTACCCTGCTTAGCTCGATGAATTCCGATTGAGTTCTGCTGAGAACACACCGGACGATAAAATTGTCAACAGCTGCTGCGGCGGCACATTCACGCTTAATGCCCTTGTAACTAAAGAGTGTCACGTTAGCCTCAGTTTGCGCCGGCAAATGCCGTTTAAGACTCTCGTGGTGGAGGAATGGGTCTCTCGCAGATGAGGTGAATGATACGATCTGCTCAAGTCTCTTGAACCTTGAACCCCCGCCAGCCTTGGGTCATCAATAACCGAGGTGACTTTCCTTACACCAGATCAGGATGGCGGAAATCGAGCAGGCTTCGCTGAAGTCGGAGCAGCTCTCGGACAAGTCGTCTTCGCCCGCCCTCCCCGATGAGCTCAGCTTGGACGAGCACACGGCCTACCGGCTGCTTGCGCCAGAGAGCAAGGTTGGTGGAGAGATCAGTGAAGTGAGGGCAGAATAACATCCGGGGAAAACATTGCCATCCTCCTTTTAATGAGGTATAAAATATGCAAAGCAAACATCCGGCACTCATCCGGTATGTTCTGTATCATTACGGCAGCTACAAATCTCTTCTTGTAATCGCGGCCGGCGATTTAATGCGTGCTTCTAATCTTCGATAAACACTTTGTGTTTAATTGTGCGACACTGAAGACAAACTCGCATGTTTAGTGGCGCGTGTTCACTGTCAAAAAAAGGTTAAAAATCAAGGCTGACCTCTGGCCAAATAGGGACAGAAAGATTGTTAGAACGCAATTCCGGGACTACTGCGACATTTATCACACATTGATGGAGAAATTGATAAGTTGACTCCCAGGCGGGCAGTTTGGGTTCAGGTCCCATTCAGTGAATAATTTTCTGACTACGTGTGTGCGCCTTTCGCCTGAATTCATGATTGCATATGGTCTGTAAGCTAATCACATTTTTGAATGACATCAGTTTGGAAGTCATCAAGACATGAGTGGTGTTGATCTCCTCCCTTGCGAAACACGACGCACCTCGTCAAAAAATAAATAAATACAGCGCGATATCATGCACGACTTTTTTTGCTAGGACGTGTGGCCACGTGGCCTTCCGCGACATTCTAAACCTACCGTGAGCACTCCATCAACCGCATCATCATATTGGTGTGTTTCCTCCAAGCATTAATTTGTAATTTGGCACACTGTCCTACGTCCCCACGAGGGTAAACGCTAACGCTACGCTGGGGCCTCCCGCTTCGTTTTTGTAGTCATTCCAGAAGGCAATGACAAATGACCGTCAGGAGTGTTTTCATGACTGTGATTTGCTCTCTTGTGAGCTCTAAACCTTAAGCTTCGAGACTCTATGTCTTTATTTTTAGCGCAGTGTGGACATCTCGTACAGATGTCACAACACTAGCAAAATATTTTTTGAACACAGCAGTGCCCCAACAAAATGTTTCCCGTCGTTGCAGATTCAACCAGTACAACATCCGGGAGGAATTTTGGACCATTTCTCATGAGTTCAAAGCGTATTTTTGGGCCGTCTGGTATGACAGCATCTCAATCGGTTTTCGGTGGTCGTTTTAGCCTTTTCGGTGGTGCTCGGTGAGCATGCGTTTTCCATCCCGCACTGTTCAGTGGCGTGTCCAATCAAAAGATGACGGCACACAAACTGTCAACTCCGTCCTCTTAAGATATTTCATGACCAATTTCGACAGAAATGCATGTCATTCAAAAGGCTTCACCATTATACAAATTGCTCTCCATTGTACCGTATTTTGAAATCTTCCAGTCCCAAAAAAAAATCTGGCCATCTTTGAATGATAATAGCCACTTTGCACATGAGAAATAAACAGAATTCAGTGTTGTGTAATGAAGCATTGACACAAGGGGAGGGTGGATCTTGGCCAAGGCTCGAAAGGCTTAGTCCGAGCATGCCCTGAAATAGCTGGCATCTCAGTCCAGCCATCTTAACCCCTTCTCCCGAATAAATCTCTCCGTCGGGTTCTCCCAACTCACGATCCCTTGTGGCTTTCAAGCTGCACCCTGTACCTCGTTTGGAGTTATCTTCTGAGCACCCTCTTGGCACTTCCCCACCGTAGCCTCATTTATCTCTATCCCTTATCATCCCTCCTTTCTCCTCCTTAATTGGGTAATACGACTTGTTTCTGGATAGCAAGATAAGCCCCGCAAATCAGCAAACATTTCTCTGCAATCGCAGCTCGTTAAAGAAAGCGCAGAGGCGAGGGGAAAGAGGGAAGACGGCGAGAAGCCAGTTTGGATCTCGTTGTGTAAGCACCGACTTGTCTTTGGACTGACGTAAAGGGCTTTTTGTTTGAAGGGGTCGATCGGTGACGTCTGTGGCACTACGGCGCGGTTGCGTGTGAAGAAACACACCGTGCCATATGTGCCGACGGCGTTTTCATACTGTACCTTTAAACGCGGGTATCAGAAACGCAAAGTCTCATTACCAACTCGAGGCACTTTTGGTTCTTTTTGCATAAAATGGCTGAAATCATCAAAGAGAACGCAATCCATTTCTATCAGCGGAGCAATTACGGGCACTCACGAGTTAGCACCGGACAATTATTGTTAGGATGCATAATATTAAAATCACAAACACGTAAGTCATACTTTAATAATCATTGCTCTCGTTGACAAGAGCCGATATGAAAAGAGCACAAGAATAAAATGTAATTAAAGGCCAGAGGATTCTTTTTTTTTTTTTTTTTTTACAGCTTGCAATTCTGAACTTTAATCATCACTTTGAGGATAATGCCCATTCCTCGGGCTAATTTCAGTTGTTATCAAATCACATTTAAAAAAAAAAAATAAGAAGAAATGACTATTGTGGAAAAGACTCCTCAGCTCCAGGTCATCTGCCCCCTCCCAGGGAAAGCGCAGCAGCGGATCCTGCAGCTCGGAAGAGGCAGCCGCCGGGGGAGGAAGTCAGCAGGTCCGGCAGACTGTTGTCCAGAGCCAGGTCCAAGGCCTCGGCCATTTCTCCAGGACCCTCTGCAAAGTCGAGATGGAAACTGCCATGCAGGATCTCGACATGCAAACAAATTCGCCAAATATGTGCTCGCCGTATTACAGCCCAAGTGAGTAAATCCACTCAATTCTGGGCACAATTTCAGGTATAAATGGGCAGCTGGTGTAAATATGTGTTCTTTCGACCATGCACGGAATGAAATGCTTGCCTTGAGTCACGCGAGGTGCTTCTAATGCGCGAACAACGGCTCCGTCGACGATTGCGTCTCAACTGGATGAAATGATTTTCCCTCTCCAGGCGCTGTTTCCGGCGTCAGCAACAAAGAGAGAAACACCGAGGGAAAAGAAGAAGCCCGCAGCGTCTCGCCGCTGCTCCCCCTGCCTGCCGAGTTCCTCCGCTCGACAGGAGCGGCCATCCCGGCACCTCCCCGCAGCAGGAGCCTGAGGTTGTCCAGAGGCCTCAGGTTGACCTCCCCGGCTTCGTGGGCTGCCTTCCGTTCCCCCGGAGGCCAGAGCAAGATGCTGTGTCGTCAGGTAGGCGGGGTGAGGGTGAAACGGGAGCGTGAAGCGCCGTCATGTCAGCAGAGATCAGTTCAACGTCGATGATGTCCAGGAATCAACACAACCGTCAAACGACTCATGAAACTCGTACTGCTGTTTCTTTTCCCGACCCTTGCGTCCGTCCGCAGTATCCGTCCCACAGCGATTCGTCACTCGCGACGGGCAGCTCTGAAGGCAGCCTCCAGACCACCCTGGAAGAAGGACTGAGCTTCAGCATCTCCCCGCCGCAAAACGTGGACTTGCCGGCAGCTCCTTTACCGCACGAGTGCCCGCTCCGCGAAGCCAACGCCGGCATTTCCTCCCCGGTCCAGACCCTGAGACTGAGGCCCAGTCCCTCGTCGGCTCTAACCCTCCAGGCCACCGTTGGCCAACAGCGGAGCCAAAGCAGCGGGCGAGGTAGCACAAGCCCGGGTTTCACACGGGAGGACTCCATTGACCCTTCGGACGAGGACCTGGGCATCGTCATCGGCTCCTCCATCGGCGGTTGTGGGTCCAGTCAAGCGGGCAACAGTGAACACTTGTCGGAGACCATGAGCAGCCTGTCGCTGACGTCGCTGCTGTCTCCCAGTTCCCTCGCGTATCCCGGAGGAGCAGTCAAAAAGTGCAATAGCACGGGAAGCCTGGACCAAGGGGGTATGCTGCTGTCATCCAGAGGAAGAGAGACCCACAGGGAGATTCTCGGCCTGGAGCTTATGGACCCCCAAGGGTTTTTGGCCAATCCCTGGTCGGGGGTATTAGCCGAAGCGACAAGAGGAGAAGGCGATGAAATTGGAGACGGGTCACAAAGGTTCCGAGGGAAAAGCTCAAGCCAAACAACAGTGGGGCCTTTTCGCAAAAACAGATGAAACCTACTGCGAACTTTTTGTCTACGTTCCTTGGATATGAACCCTTCGATGTCCCTCGCACTCTCTCTTCCCGCAAATGAAAGAGAGAGGCTTGCTCGTATTTCTCCGACCCGCATCTCTACCCCCTTTGAACTCCTCTCTGTACATTTGTGATCCGCCGAAGACGCTGGCCTCGGTTTGGCTGCGGTGCGCCGGTGTGGTCGTATTCTGCAAAGTTGGGGCCTAAGGGCTAAAGGAATAGAACACGCGTCGAGGGTTCTATGAGAGGAAGCGGGGGTAGCCTGTTAAAGCAGGGAAATGCTCCTTATCTCCAAACCGGGTCATGTTCACCGATGCTGGAAAATGCAGGAACGGAGGTATCCCAACCCAAATAGCTACCCACGCCAACTGATACTGTTTTGCGAGGCAGCGCAACGGGCAAGTTGGAAGGACGCTTCCAGGTAACGGAATATATATTAGCGTGGCTAAAGGAAGACGTTAAGGGACAGAAACGTCAGGTCATTTGTTTGGCACGGGGGAAGGCAGAAAGCCGATCCAATCTCCATCTGTTCCGGCAGACGGAAACAACGGGTCCCGCTTGCTCTCTCTCTCTCTCTCTCTCTGGCTCGAGCCCTTCTGCTGACATCGCAGGAAAGTGTGAGGTGGAGAAGAGGTCACCAAACGTGGGTGGGTGGGTGTCTGAGAGAGCGCTGCCTCAGGTAGCCAAAGGATTGGAGGTTATAGTTCTCATCCATTCAGCAGCATTTTAGTTTTTTCTTTCATGGGAGGTGAGTTGGATCAGATTGCCAAGGCATGACATGACCCCCTCGTGTGATTTGCTATTGTTTTAGATCAAGCGTCGCTCACGAAGATGGTTTGGACCCCATAGCCAGAAGTGAGATTTCAAGCACACTCCCTTTGACGGTACTTCCTCTCACAGTGTTGAAGAGTTTGAGATGCATTGACGAAACCGCAAAGGTTGCAAGGGACTTTAACTCGCATGACGGAAACGCATTTAACGGAATCCAACTTTTTACGTATATACAAACGTGTGTCCAGATGTCAGTGTTGGGTGATGACCATGTGATTTCAACGCCACTATTTTTGTAGAAAAGAGAATAGTCACATGCAAATCGCGGCCATTACCTCGCTCCGGTTCCAAGTCCGTTCCGATGCCTCGCGTCAGTTTGTCCCGCCAGTGGCTTCCAGTTTTATAACTTTTTCTTTTTTTTTTAAAGTGTGCAAAACAGTGAAGCAAAAAAAAAAAAAAAAGTTTTTTGAAATTGCTTGAATTTGTTACTTCCTTCATATCTCTGAACAAAACGGTGAGTCCTCCTTTTGAATTGCATGTGATGAGTCATAGCAGATGGGAGCAGCCATATTGACTCAAGCAAAACGCTTTTTTAAGTGTCCAAAACAGTGAAGCAAAAAAAAAAAAAAAAATGTTTTTTGGAATTGCTTGAATTTGTTACTTACTTCATATCTCTTAACAAAACGGTGAGTCCTCCTTTTGAATTGCATGTGATGAGTCATAGCAGATGGGAGCAGCCATATTGACTCAAGTAAAACGCTCACGGGCATATTGTTTCGGTTTTGGCTTTGCAATTCTGTGCGTTTATGTTTATGATTAAAATGTCACCCGGATTAACGAATCTCTCCTGCGCGACCCATCTGCTGTTGTAGCAATGCAGCATAACCCTGAGCACAAGTGTCTTTTAATGCAAAATGACTTCGGGTGGGGGGGGGGTTGCCACATGCTGAATCACTTCAAGCCTAAAATGAGATGCTGAACTTTAAGCCTGGTTTTTCCAGCCCGTTGTGTTAAAATGACAATTTTGATTTGGAATTTCTCCCACATAACGAGGTGGCGTAAAAATCTTTTTTTTTTTTTCTTCTTCTTCTTCGCCCCGACTTGTGCAAAATCACTCATGGGTGTGCGTACCAGCGTGCATGTTTGTTACACGACTTCGGGTGAGGTGACTGCATTTTCCTGATGTTTCTGTCAGTGAACTGTGTCATGATGATGATGATGACGACGGTAATGCCTGAGAGTGAAGGTGAAACGCGGAACAACCAAGGGCTGTTTGAGCTTGAAAGGTTTTGTCCTCCTGTCTTTTCTGAGACAAATGTCAATGAATATGGCAACAAAGGTTCAAGCCTGACTACACAGCAATAAATGTTCGATGTGTATGCCCTGATTAACTGACATCCATGTGATTTTTTTTTTAATCGTCTTCTTTAATTGCCATGTTTGCAACAATACTCATTTCTTATCACTTCTTGCGATCAGTTACTGCACCTTCAGTAATTTGAATTTTTTTTTACACTCATTCTATGGGCTCTGGATGCACTACACAATCTTAGAGAAAATCAGCTATAAATTCTAATATGTATTTTTATATATTTTGGTCGAAATTGCGTGAATGAATACTGAATATAATATTCACGTTTTAGTCATATTCGTTATTTTCGTCACTTAAAAAAGGCCAAAAGAGCCAAGTCCTAGAAAAAAATTCTAATAATTTTCAGAAGTCTTAAATGGGCTCTTGTCACTGGGGTCATGATTGATCAAGGCTACATGCGATGGCACATTATCACAACTATTACACTATTCCCATCATTCTTGGATCAGATTTGCCCTCCTGAGCAACACACACGCAAGAGCGTATGTCGCTGCTGAGCACAGAAACCACATCCAGTAATCCATCAGGACAAAGTGCCCCTGGGGTGGGTTGGAGGGGCGGGTGGGGGGTTGTCTTGAAGCATCGATGGTATCAGTCTCTGCTGAGAAAAAAGCAGCATGTGGATGTCGCACAACAAGAGGATTAATGTGGTGTCACTGGAATGAGCTGCTTGCTTAAGCTCATGGACTGGAAATCAACAATGTGAAATGGGAGTAAAATTTCAGCAGAGTATCGGCGATACTTATAGACCCGTATCTGATAAACCGAACTTAAAAGACGTGTTTTCCGCACTATAAGGCATCTCGGAGTATAAGGCGGCGCACCTTCAATGAATGGCCTGTTTTTAAACGGTTTGCATATTTAGGACGCACTGCACTATAAGGCACATAAAATAGAAGCTACAATAGCGGCTATGGTTATGTTATGCATCCACTAGATGGAGCTACGCTAAAGGGAATACAATACAATACGGCTTTATTTATATGGCGCTTTCACAACCGCTGCAGCTGTAACAAAGCGCTTGACAGAACATTTAAAATGCTACATCCAAGAAATCAGAATATTGATCCATATAGAAGATACATCTTAGTTTTATACATCAAAATGTTAGTCGATGTCACTTTGGAAAGTTCTCACGGGTGCACACAACTTGCTCACTACGGCGCTTTACAAATGGGGCATCAACACCGGGCTTCGCTAATCTTCCATCTTCTCCTCGGTGGAAGCCAACCGAGTCGCCCCTTGCAGCTCCCGGCGCGAGTCGACAACGCTTGTCAGAGGATCAGCGCTAATGGCTGAAGCTTATCACCTCCCGACTTGCTTCCAGGGAAGTGCCCCGCCGTCACCGCGTCCTCCTCACTTCTTCTTCTCCTCCTTCTTCTTCTGCTCCTTCTTTACCTTTTGCTGGCGTGTGCCAAGGGAAAGGGGAGGTGTGACAAGCGGAAACCTTGAGCTCGGGAACAGTGCTGACACTGCCGCTTTCTGCACCACTGTGCTTTCATCATGATGGATTGCTGACAGCTTACCTCAACACCTGGCCCGCTGGTTTGTGAGATAATGGCTCTGCGCGCACACACACACACACAAACAGTAACAATGTTGCAGAAATGGGTTTTGCTGTAAAAGATTTATTCAGTGAGGAACTGTGGCGGTTCAGTCAATTGATGGGCCGCATTTGCGACAAGCATTTTTCTTTTTTTTTTTTTTTAAAATCCCAGCATTCACATTACTGTTTGGATTCAGACTCGCTTTTTTTTTTTTTAAATCCCGGCATTCACATTACTGCTTGGATTCAGACTCATGCAATTTCCCATAACACGGGAAAGATATTCCCGCTCGGAGAAAACGTTTATGAGGGGATCGCCTTTTTAGTTTGTACATTTTGCTGCACAAAAGGAAGATTGACATGAAACAAATGATTGTTTGGCCCAAATAAAATGAACGAGCAGTCCTATGAAGCGGATGAAAAAGTTCAGATCGGTTTCCCACAGAGCACAAAATCAAGAAATACTAAATCATGCCTTACAAAACAAAAAGCAACATTTTCTAAATGCTGCGCATGCAATAAATTTTGCTCTACTGTGGCACAAAATAAAGTTTAGTACCTTCCAAATCAGGGAGCATGCAAAGCAACAACGGCAGCATTTTTTTTTTTGTATGCATGCAATTAAACTGATGTTTGGTTGCACTTTTTAATCATCTCAGTGCACTTCAAAGATTTATTTTTATTTTTTTTATTAACGTTGCCTCGTGTACATCATTTGGATTGGACGACATTCCGCATGAAACTTGAACAATTTGCTCTTGAATGCTTTGAGGTGAGGTAGCCGAAGCAAACGTGACATCAAAGTGATAGACACTTGTCAGAAGAGCCGAGGGATTTTCGCGGTTTCATGTGCCGGTGCCGTCGCATCCTTTTTGAGGGGAGTGTTTTTTGAGATGTGTCAAGTTGTTGTGTGAAGAGGTTTTTTTGGGCTGCAGCCTCTCGTGCACGCAAATGCTCTCACAGAGCAGTGAGAGTAAAAATAAGAGACAAATCATCTCCTTTCACTTGGGAACACACTCGGATTCACGTGATGCATGAGGCAAGGTTGTGGCGAAGGACGAAACATCGAGAATTTCAAGGTCTCGCATGATTGCATCACATTGCAAAAACCAAAGCAAGGCTACAAACAGAAATGAAAGACGACTTTTGGTGTCTCCTCCCATTGATGGGCCCGAGCCTAAAAACAAAGTTGCTACAGCACTTTTTGGGGGTGGGGCAACTTAACTATTTTGTCCCAAATAAATCACAAATATATTTTAAAAAAAGAACAAACGTCCACAAGAACAAGCTGCTTGCCATCTTTTCTCTTCACCCTTGTCATATTCTGGAGGGTTGGTGTAAATTCATTGTGTTGCATATCGACATTTTTTTTCTGCTGATTGTCTTTTTTTTTTTTAACTTCCCTTTAAAAAAAAAAAAAAAAGTATTTATTTAGTTTCTTTTTACTAGGTCCGAATCTCCTGAACGGTGCCAATCAAATGGAATTTTTTTGGCCTCAACTGCTGACTCGACATGTTCAAGGAAACAGTCCTCTGAATTGTGCCAACTTGCAGGGCACACTTAGAAACACGTCCAAGCCGTTGGCAGCTTGACGAAGAGACGCCTCGGTCAACGATTTGTCATAGAAGGTATGTATTGCATGACTGGACTATTTCAAGTCTCAAAAGACACGAATGGGTGAACTCCTACCGTGGTGCGAAATGGCCACGTGTTCATTTTGAGCCTCGTGAACTCGCGTTCGTCTTAAGTTTGTGTGCGCAGTGCAGGTTCATGCGAGGTGCTCTGCTTCCTAGGAGCTTTTGTTTCCTTGCTCAAATTTATCAGCGCAATTAGGAGCTCTGCTGAGCGTGTAGTGTAGGCCCACACTGGGCGAGCAGCTCTCCTCCACCGGAGAGCCCCTCCGCATTCTGTGTGCCTACATGTGTGTGTGTGCGCGTATTGGAGCTGTTCAAAATTTGGTCCCAACACAACTGGAAAACCGGTGCAGTGGAACAATCAAGTTGGGAATGTAATTGGCTCCATGATCCTGTTTGTAACTTGAAATGTTCAGAAATGAAGAAAATGCTTGCCATTGAAATGAATGGAAATGCAAGTAATCCGTTCCAGCCCCCAAAACAGTTATACTTACCTTTTTTTTATATTATGCACTATAAAAATAAGTGAAAACACACTATACTAAGGGAATAAAACATTTTTTTAAAAATGTGCTAGTTATTGCTTGTTCATTTAAAGTAGAGAGGGAAATGGGGAAGAGGACGACAGATTTTCTGATTGAAGATATTTCAGCACCGTCTGTTTTCTAATTCATAAATTGATTTTGGCAAACCAATCCAGTGAATATTGGTTTTTTTTTCTGTCCCCCAAAAAAATTCATGAAATGAGACATTCCATTGTCATTTAAAGGCTAAATTCATTGCACATTTCTATTGGTCATCTTTAGGATTTTTTTGATTGCCTCACTCACTGGATCCACTCATGGTTCTGAGGTGTTTTGTCAGTCAGTCCGCACGGTATTTTCCATTTCAGTGCACATGGGTGCAAATGCCAGTCCTCGTTGACTTCACCTGAATGAAACACCCTCGGACAAAACACACTTGGACGTACGCATTCCAAGATGAACCGCATCAATGACGAGGAAGGACAAAGCACTCTACATGACGTACATGTTATGAGATGTATGTTGCACTTCTATGTTGCTCCTTTTTAACCCCTGGACACAAGTCGTTTCGCAAAGAGGACGCAGGAAGTCGCCGAACCACGTTCAGCGTCTGCCATCGCCTCGGTAGAAAAGCCGGACACGCCGAGCCGCTTTGCACGATTACACAAGATCCATCCGACAAGACACAAACACTGAATGCCTCCCACAGATGCGCATGACGTGATTACAAGAAAACGAGTCGAGCAACGCCGACGAATAGTTAACGCGCGACACTGTTTATGGCTCGTCAGTGGCGGGGAGGAGAACCGACGTCAAGGCTTGCGCTTTATCTTTCAGATGCATTTCATATCAGGGCCTTTTGTGACTTGTCTGTAATCTCCTTGCCTCGGAAAGCATAAAAAAAAAACGCAACACCGTCCACGGAGCGCCAAGTGGACAGGTGCATGACTGATGCGGGGAAAGAGGGACAATCAATAGAAAAACTATTGAAGCCGGCGATCAATGAGAGGGCAAAAGGATGCACGGGGCACCTCCCGACAACCTCCCCTTTGCGTCCCCCCCGTGTAATCAATGAGTAAAACGTGAGCGAGGATATCGTGCAAATCCTCCACCTTCGCATCAAATCCTCCCTTCGCTCCGGTCATGAGGATGAGTCACGCCTGTTCCACTGTCCGAACGACACGCCGCCGCATTTCAGTGAAGTGGGCAGATCGCCTGATCGATAAACAACAAATGTTAATTTATTGCACCGCTGGCACCTTGAGCAAGGAGATGGAATCCGGCAGGAATCGCAGATTTGTCGGGGGATTCGCACCCGGAGGTTGCTCGATGCTAAAGGTGACCTTGTGTGGCATTGAGAAGGTGCAAAGTGCTAACCGGATGACTACAGACGTTTTTTTTTTAAAAATGACACCCACTTTTCCGGAAGCACAGATGAGGAAACTTGTTCTTGTTTTGTCAATGAGAATAGACGGATCGAGTCTTGCCGCCGTGACCTTTCCTCCTGGCTCTTCATCTTCCGACGGTATCTATCCGCATTCTGGCACACGTAACTCTTTGGAAGCAGTGAAGAGCGAAGAGTCACACGCCCTCGCACAGGCGGCGAGGCAGAGCGGCCCTCCTGCGAGGGTGTGACTCAGGTCGTACAAAAGAACCGGACAGGTTAGTCCTTCTTCCGCATCTTACGGTATTCATTAAATAGTTTAATGGAGAAAAAAAAAAACTCTTCTCATGCTTCTCGGTTTTGGATCGGAGCTTGTTGACGCACAAAAACAGTTTGACATAGAATGTGACCGGGATAAATGTGATAAGCTGCGCATCTGTAAGGTCCTGGGAGGGGTACGGGTCCTGTTGGCATGACAGATGGAACTCTGACAATTTTCTCCGCAGATTGGAAGGGATACTGCAGTTTACCGTTGTCCTTGAGGGGGGTGGGAGCAGCCAGATGCTCGTCGAGCTGGAGAATCTGGACCCGATGGCGACGCGGAGGTGCACGCGGCACTGAACAGCGATCGGGCTCGATACGGGATACTCACAGCATGTAAGAAGCTATTGCGGATATGATGTCATTCCATTTATGATGCCAGGTCGTCCTTGCTTAGGGGGCGAGTGCCGTATTTTCCACATTATAAGGCGCTTTGGAGTGTAAGGCGCGCCTTCAACAAATGACTAATTTTAAAACTGTTCTCATATTTAGGGCGCACCGCATAATAAGGCGCACAGAATAGAAGCTACAGTAGAGGCTGCGGTTGCATTATGAATCCACTAGATGGAGCTACGCTAAAGGGAATACAATACCGTTTTATTGATATCACGCTTTCACAATCGCCGCAGCTGTAACAAAGCGCTTTGTGGAACATTTAAAATACTACCTCCAAGTAATCAGAATATTGATCCATATAGAAGGCGCATCGGATTATAAGGCGCACTGAGAAAAGTGAATGCTTTTAAGTGCGCCTTATAGTACGGAAAATACGGTACTAAAGTCAGTTGGGTATTTGTCTTGTCAACATGGCCTCTCTGGATTAGACCAAAAATGTATTTTAGTGGTAATGAGCAGTTTTTTTCGAGATGCTCTTCAGTATTTCAATTTATCTCTTTGGCTTAAGATCACAGAAACCCTTGTGACACAGAAACTACCGACTGCAAAGCAAGGTGAACAAAGGTCAACCTAAGCCGCCTACTCAGCGTTTTCATTTCGGGTATTTCGGATCACGTCGTCCATGAACTTCTGAATTCTCGGACTGATATACACTGTACATCCTCAGTTGGGGAGCTAATTTTTAACTCCGTAGTGATAACATGATATATTCATCGCGGATACGGGCAAGTGGATCCAAATCCCACGGCCAACCATTAACCCTTGACTCATCCTCCAAATTAATCGACACACTCGAGGATGTTGACCGGCGAAGGTTCATGCGGAAGACGAGTCGCGTTTCACTTGCAAGGAGGGGGGCGGGGCAGGGGGGGGGGACAAAAGGGGTCTCTCGTTTTTGTTTGAACTAGAACGGAAAGGAATTACCAATTGACCACACGCTACCATGACGGGCCTAATTAATCAAATACATAATTCATAGGGTGGAAACGCGTGCCATGAAAGGGAAAAGGGGTAAGCGAGATGGAACACAAGAGCGCGTTATCAGCATTTTCTTGGAGAGGAAAGCGGACGGAGAATGCTGGAGGCTCCCTTTTGTGCGTAAAATGATTCAAATATAAAAAAAAAAAACCTCATATTCCATCCAACTGCAGTCAAGGCGTGCAACTAAATAAGCTAACGCCGTATTATTATGAAATCAAAACCGGCGGACATGTAATTCAAGTCTCCCATAACAATAAAAGTTGTAATCAATAAGACGGGAGCTTTAACATTCGATATGTACTATATATTTTTTTTAATGAACATATTGATATGATGGCAATTAGAAGACAACGTATCGGTCAATAGCAGTGAACCCAAAAGCACGAGAATGCTCTCTGACGGACAAAGATTACCGTAAATATAAGCACCGTGGTCGTGAGAAGCCTTCGGGTATTGATCTGTGATTAATAACTCAATAGGACTGTTAATAGAGATCTGTTGATGCGGGACTCCATCACAGACATTTTAACTCGTCGGCCTTGTTGAGGAACAAGGATGTCCTTACAAAGACCCTCCTATTTTGTTTCAGGTATCATTCAGACAAACGGAAGGCCATCAGGATTTGACAGCTTTTTGGAAGCAAGACTCAACGATTGTCAATGGAGAAGCGCTCAAGTGGAAGATCGTGATGCTCAACAAACCTGAGGTTGGTTCCCTTACAAAAAGCGCAAAGCCCAACCAAAACTGATTTCATGCAGTGGCCAGTGTGTAATGTAGAAAGGCTCTTTGCTGATAGGATCAAAGCTCCAAGTGCACTAACACATACCGCATATTCCATTTCGAATAAATACGACCACGCTGGGCGGGAAATAGTATTTAGACGGATGACAAATGAGGTTATACGATAATTCATAATTTCATTACATTACCCAGCATCGATTTTTGCGTCTTTAAAAAACAAACGTTATTTATCATCCATGGGAGCAGCCAGATGCTCGTCGAGCTGGAGAATCTGGACCCGATGGCGACGCGGAGGTGCACGCGGCACTGAACAGCGATCGGGCTCGATACGGGATACTCACAGCATGTAAGAAGCTATTGCGGATATGATGTCATTCCATTTATGATGCCAGGTCGTCCTTGCTTAGGGGGCGAGTGCCGTATTTTCCACATTATAAGGCGCTTTGGAGTGTAAGGCGCGCCTTCAACAAATGACTAATTTTAAAACTGTTTTCATATTTAGGGCGCACCGCATAATAAGGCGCACAGAATAGAAGCTACAGTAGAGGCTGCGGTTGCATTATGAATCCACTAGATGGAGCTACGCTAAAGGGAATACAATACCGTTTTATTGATATCGCGCTTTCACAATCGCCGCAGCTGTAACAAAGCGCTTTGTGGAACATTTAAAATACTACCTCCAAGTAATCAGAATATTGATCCATATAGAAGGCGCATCGGATTATAAGGCGCACTGAGAAAAGTGAATGCTTTTAAGTGCGCCTTATAGTACGGAAAATACGGTACTAAAGTCAGTTGGGTATTTGTCTTGTCAACATGGCCTCTCTGGATTAGACCAAAAATGTATTTTAGTGGTAATGAGCAGTTTTTTTCGAGATGCTCTTCAGTATTTCAATTTATCTCTTTGGCTTAAGATCACAGAAACCCTTGTGACACAGAAACTACCGACTGCAAAGCAAGGTGAACAAAGGTCAACCTAAGCCGCCTACTCAGCGTTTTCATTTCGGGTATTTCGGATCACGTCGTCCATGAACTTCTGAATTCTCGGACTGATATACACTGTACATCCTCAGTTGGGGAGCTAATTTTTAACTCCGTAGTGATAACATGATATATTCATCGCGGATACGGGCAAGTGGATCCAAATCCCACGGCCAACCATTAACCCTTGACTCATCCTCCAAATTAATCGACACACTCGAGGATGTTGACCGGCGAAGGTTCATGCGGAAGACGAGTCGCGTTTCACTTGCAAATGAGTTGCGCGGTATATTGACAGCTGCATATTCATGAGTCTATCTATATACACGCATAATCTCGTGAATGCGCGCTCGGTTCCGGCCGCCGCCAAATGAATGCCGGCTTGTTCTGTACCGGCGACCGACTCGCGCCTTCTATTCAAACTATCGCTCCGCTTTGAAGCCCGACACGCAGCTTTTATCTTGTTATCTTGTTATTTCATTGTATTCCCGTGTGCAACGCGCGGCAACATCCCGGGAGGGTGCAACAAATACCATCCCTCTCATCCGTAACGCAGCCGGCAATCATGGCAGCGAAGGGGGGCGGGGCAGGGGGGGGGGACAAAAGGGGTCTCTCGTTTTTGTTTGAACTAGAACGGAAAGGAATTACCAATTGACCACACGCTACCATGACGGGCCTAATTAATCAAATACATAATTCATAGGGTGGAAACGCGTGCCATGAAAGGGAAAAGGGGTAAGCGAGATGGAACACAAGAGTGCGTTATCAGCATTTTCTTGGAGAGGAAAGCGGACGGAGAATGCTGGAGGCTCCCTTTTGTGCGTAAAATGATTCAAATATAAAAAAAAAAAACCTCATATTCCATCCAACTGTAGTCAAGGCGTGCAACTAAATAAGCTAACGCCGTATTATTATGAAATCAAAACCGGCGGACATGTAATTCAAGTCTCCCGTAACAATAAAAGTTGTAATCAATAAGACGGGAGCTTTAACATTGTATTTTATTTATTTTTTAATGAACATATTGATATGATGGCAAATAGAAGACAACCTATAGGTCAATAGCAGTGAACCCAAAAGCACGAGAATCCTTTCTGACGGACAAAGATTACCATAAATATAAGCACCGTGGTCGTGAGAAGCCTTCGGGTATTGATCTGTGATTAATAACTCAATAGGACTGTTAATAGAGATCTGTTGATGCGGGACTCCATCACAGACATTTTAACTCGTCGGCCTTGTTGAGGAACAAGGATGTCCTTACAAAGACCCTCAAAAGGGCTTTGATGGACAAGTGCGAGAACTGAAAAGCCTCCTGCTGGTCTACCCGGTGATGCCTGGCGCCTGGTGGCTACGTTCGGCCCAGAATTGCAAAAGAAAAAAAAAAATGCAGGAGATTGAGAGAAGACAAAGAACATGAAACAGTGCAGAAAGTCTGAAAGGAAAGGCATCATTTTGGGAGCCCATTCCTGTGGTGGAGCCATCTGCTGAGAGACGTGAGATTTGGTGTGGCGATAGGACCAATGTTGCTCTCGTAGCATATGTTAGCGGCTTGACC